AATAATAAATAAAATAGTTTTGCTATCTCTTAATCTTATGGAATTTGACATATCTTGAGGATGAATGCAAAAGAATAAGCATAATCAGAGTCATAGTTTTAGAATTAAAGGAATCTTTTGTGTTTGTCTCATAGTGACCCAAGGTCTCACTATGTGGCTCAGTCTGACCTTGAACTCACTATATAGCCCAGGCTGGCGTTAAATTCACAGCAATCCCCCTGCCTCAGTCTCCCTAGTGCTGGCATTATAGGTACACACAACCATGCCCAGCGTAGAAGGGATTTTTTAAAAGCTGTGTTGAAAACAGTTAAAAGCAATCCAGATCACTGGGCTGGAGGTATAGCTTAGGTAGAGTGATAGCCTAGCACTCACAAGGTCCTCAAATCAATCCCCAACACAACCATAAAACCAAAAAGAAGTCAGGGTCACACTATAAGTTCCAGCCCATTCGATGGCTAACAGTCTGATTTAAGTGAGCCATTTCACCTCTAAGCCTACGTCCTATGGATCAAGCCCACCTCAGCCTTGAGGACTAAGATAATTATGCTTGAAATACTAACTGCTCAGGAAATGGTAACTGTTTTTGAGTTGCTACTTATCCTTGCTTTGCAGATGAGATTGTGGCACAGAGGGGTGCTATGGTTTAGACCTGGAATATCCTCCAAGGGCCCATGTGTTAGAGGCTTGGTTCCCAGCCTGTGGTGCTATTAGGAGGTGGTGAAACTTCTGAGAGGTGCAGCCTTATGAGAGGAAGTTCGGTGACCTGGGGTATGCGCTCTGGGATGTCAGGACCCTGGCCTCTTCTTTTATCTTTGCTTCCCACCCACCATAAGGTGAGCAGTTTGGTCCCACCCTGCACTCCCACCATGATGTGCTGCCTCACCAGAGCCCCAGAAAAATAGTTAAGCAACCATGGACTGAACCCTCAAAAATGGTGAACCTAAATCAATCTTTTCCTCCTTATAGATTAATTACCCCAGTTTTATCAAAGTAGCTGAAGGCTAACACAAGATGTTAAAGGGTTTTTTTCTCAAATGCTACAGCTAGTTATAGTGTCTGACTTGGGGGTGGGGTCTACTATGCATGTGAAAGCCCTCTGTGGAGCAGCACATCTTCCCCTGTGGGGGTGAACAGTGTGATAATTGCAGGGAAGTCCTCCCCAGAATCCAAAAGCAGAGAGGGGTGCTTCTGCCATCTCACAAGCTCATGGTGAAACCAGGTGGGATGAATATCAGAGCTCTTTCAAGAAGACATGAAACTTAGTGGAAAGCGTAGATAACAGACCTGTGTCAGACACTTTTCACAGTGCTGGGGAATCCAGCCCAGGCCTTCACACAGGCTAGGCAAATGCCCTACCACTGAGCTATACCCCGAGTGTCACTACTTTGTATGTAAGGAAAGTTAAGGCTCAGAGAGCTTAATAACTTGCCTAAAGTCACACAACCAGTAAGCAGCTAGTGTCGGGTTCAGACACAGGTCAGCTCACCTCTGAGAACCTTCTGCATTTCTTCTGTGTGAATATGGAAGAACAGGCTGTGTGGAGGCCTACTCAAGGGCTTGGGGGAGCACACTGCAGTGAGGCACAGTGATGAGCACCACCGCTGTTTGCATACCACACACACACACACACACACACACACACACACACGTGCACAGCACTGCCAACTAAGCCGGGATATATCACCAATTGTAAGGCCCAGTCTGACTTCACAGCCATGAAAGCATATAACTCCAAGTCTATAAACATTAGTAGAACTCACTGACCAAGGGTCCAAAAGCCTGAGGTGGAAACGTTCTTAATCTTAGGGATGAACTTCTACCCCCAAATGCTTTTCAAAACTTGAGGACAGGGGGCCTGCCCCTTAGCTCAGCACTTTAAGTGGCTGCTTCAACAAAGCGGTCAGGCTCAGGTTGCTGTGGTTCGATCCCCACAACTCAAGCCAGCCAAACCTGCCCTGAAGGCATTAGGAGCAAAAAAACTTGAGGACCATGTTGTGGGGAAAAGGGAAGGAAAGGACTAGCATCATTAAAAAAAAAATTTGTGGGGGGGACTTTTTTTTTTTTTTTTTTTTTTAATCTTTCAGTACTACAGATTAAGCCCAGGGCCTTCACAACTTGTCCTTTTTCATTTCAAGACGTCTTGCTAAGTCACTAATTTGCTCGGGCTAGGCTCCAATTTGCAATCTTCCTGCCTCAGCTTCCCAGGGTGCTGGGATTACAGCCTTGGGCCACCACTACACAGCCGGCTGGTGAGAGTCTGAGCACTCTGGGGATCTCCTTTGCCTTGCCACTAGCTCTCAGGTGTCACCTCTGCTCCTCAGGGCACCCCATGTCCCAGTCCCACGCCAGCAGCTGGCGGATACTCACTTGCTGCAGGAAACACACTTGCTCCCTTTTGGAAAGAAGCCTGTGTGGCAGGTGCACACTGTGTTCTGTCTCTTCTGACCTATGGGTAGAAGTGCCACACACTAAGCACATACACCCTGCACCCCAGGGCCAGAGGAGGGTAAAGGGGCAGGTTGGGGTGGCCAGATGGGCTGCTCCTCAGACCCACAGGCCATGGGAGCCTAGAGGAAGGAGAGGGAAAGGTGCAAAAGGTGGAGCCCTTCCTTCCCGGAGATGGGATGGCCTAGGTGGGGGGGCGTGGGCGTGGGTCTGCATACTCACAAGGGATAGCCACAGTGCCATTGAGGCAGAGGCTGCAGTCCGTGCACCGGAAATGTCTTTCACCAAAATAGTCCTGGAACTGGTTCTGCCTGCAGCCACATACAGTGTCCCGGTCCACTGTGCAAGGACTAAGCTCTATCTGGGACAGTTCTAGTGAGAAGAAAGTAGGTGTGAGTCCTTCAGTGCTTTTCCATATTAACTCTACTTCTCTTTTCCCTGCAGTACTGGGAGTTGAGCCCAGAGCGCCCCACCACTGAGCCACACCCCAGCCCTTTGTAGTTTTTATTTTGAGATAGGGCCTCACTGAGTCCCTCATCTTCCCATGCTGGCCTGGAGGTCACAGTCCTCCTGCATCAGTCTCCAAGTAGCTTGTACCACCGCTGCAGACTCCTGTATCTTGACATCCCTCAGCATGCATCTGTCCCTGTGAGTCATACTTAAACCGATGCACACACATCCTGCCTGCAGCACTAGCACCAATTTGCAGATCCCCCAGAGCACCTGGGAGCCTCTGCAGCCATGGTGCCAGGCCAGGACCATGCCTACCCCCAGAGCCTAGCGCTGCCCAGAGACTGACCTTCCCGACATTGGGAACAGCCTAAGCACTCCCGGTGGTAGTTCTCAGAGGAGGTGAAGGTGCCATTTCCACACTCCCTGCAGTCTGTGTCTAGGCCAGGGCCCAGACAGTCTTCGAACAAGTAGGTGCCTGTGAACAGTAGGGTGTCGGGGTTAGGCTGCTGTGGAGAACCCAAGCAAAGAGCCTTGTGCTGGGGAAACCAGCCAGGGCCACTTCCCTCAAGTCCCAAGGTGAAGGAAGGAGGGAGAAAGTCCCAGTGATGATGGGGGAGAAGCTCAGGGATAGGGACCTAAATCCCAGAATGCAAAGGAAAACTCCAAGCCCCACAGCTGGGGGAACTCATGTTACCACTTTCTCCTACCTTTGTGGCACTTGGTGCAGCAGATGGAATTATTTTTAGGGTGGTTGTATTTTCCCTGGGGACACAAATTATCCCTCTTCTCCCGATCCCCAGAGGGAGGGACCAGGCCAATGACACCTGATGAGTATATCCCCACCAACAGAGCCAGGAGCACCTGGGGGGAATCAAAGGAAAGAGAAGCCCATTAGGAGGCAGGCGTGGGGCGCTGGGTGGCAGCAACCCAACACCTCCCAGCCCCACTCCAGCTTCTTCCTTAACTTACACTGCTTAGCTTCTAATAGTCCTATGTGCTAATTCTTGGTACTTCAACCCAAGGGTAGTGGGCCCGAGGCCCAGCCTTGTTGCACCCTGACACTGCCCACTGCAGCCCAGTGCTGGATGCAGAACAGACATTCAAGGAACACTTAGTTGTGCTTGTTGCTCACGGTACTGAGGACGGAACCAGGGGTCTGGTGCATGCCAAACACACACTTAATTGTGAGATGCACTCCCAGTCCAAGGTCAGCAGTTTACTTCAATGATGGCCCTTTCTCCTGAGAGGCATCCCCAAAGATGGCAGAGGGCATTTCTCTAGCTGGTATAGGGTTTCCAGGGCATGTGTGTAATGACCATTCACAGTGGTGAACTGTTAGATTCTGTAAACTCTCTTGCATTATGTTCTACACTAGAAAGTACTTTTAAAAAGTCAAATGGGGGTGGAAGTGGTGTCTCCCTGGCCACCACTTCTGAGGAATTTCTTTATACATTTATGGCAAACCCAAATGGAATGGGAGTCAGAGCAAAGACTGAGGGGGTCGGGCATGGGGGAGGGGCAGACAAAGTTTGGGAGCCCCAGAAAGAACACAGGCAGGCCAGAGGTGGGCCAATGGCTCAGGAGCTGAGTGTGTGCTAGGAAGTCTGGTACCCTTTGCACAGAAACACTCTGGGAGGCAGGCTGTACAGCCTTGAGCCAAACCTCGGCAGCTGAAGGGCCTTCCAGTTCTTGCTTCAGTTTCTTTTTTTTTTTGGCAGAACCAGGGATTGAACTCAGACCCTTGTGCTAGCCAGGGAAGCGCTTATTCCACTGAGCCATCTCCCTGGCCCTCTGGCTTCAGTTTCTTTTTCTTTTTTTTTTTAAATTTATTTATTTATTTATTTGTGTGTGTGTATGTGTGTATGTGTGTGTGGCCAGCTCAGCCCACCAGGGGGCGGGGTTGGCTGGCATGTGGTGCTGGGGGATTGAACCGTGGTCCCTCTGCTTTGTTAAGCTTGTTCTAAGTAGGTGCTTTAGACCACTGAGCCATCTCACCAGCCCTGGCTTCAGTTTCAAGAAAACAAAAGCTAGGAGTCAGTATTTAGCTCCCACTTTCAGACTTGGCTCTTTGATCTCTCTTGGCTGGATCCTGCTTCTCCCTGGATCTTGCTTAGTTTTCCTCTCTTGTATGAGTCATTTCATGTAAAGATAGAGGTGTCCACCAAGAATGTCAAGCACTGGGGAGCAACAGACTTATCTGATCACAGAAACCCCAGCCCAGGAGAGGGATCCAGTTTCCAAAATGGCAGGTTCGTCACACCCTGCCATTTGCTGGGAGCCGCAGCAGCTGCAGGGGTCCGGAAGCCCAGGCCTCTGCCACAAACCTGGAATGCCACTTGCCACTCACAAAAGCCCACCAGCAGCCCCTGCAGCAAGGGTGGCCCCTCCACACAGGACAATGTCTTCCAGGGCAACAGGAAAGGCTGGTTATGGGAAAAGCTTCCCAATCTTAAATGAGTGGTTCCTTTCCCCGAAGAAGAGCTTGGCACACCTAAGATCATTAGCATTTGGAATGCCACCAGGGCACTGAGGGCAAAGCCAACAGGCAGACCCAGGTCAGGAGAAGAGCTGGCGCTCCAGTCAGGGCAGCCTTGGAGGTGAGGGGGAGCCTCCCAAGAGGGAGTTGGCAAGGGCTTGTCCCAAGCCACACACTCCTTTGCTCCTCCAGAACTTTGGGGGTTAAATCAGATCCGGGAAAGGGAAAACCTTTTCCCAGCAGCTCCGCCCCCGGTGACTCAAGCCAGAGGGAGGGGATCTAGAGGAGAGGAGAGGGAACTAGCAGCTTCCCCTGCTCCTCAAAGGTCGTGAGTCAGCAGAAGAAAGGGCCCAGCCAGCAAGTGGGGGCCCAGCCAGCAAGTGAGACCCCATCTGACCCCTCTCCCTCCTGTCCCCACTCAGAGAGCCCCTTTCCATCCCTTCCCCCTCAAAGGAGTCCAGCAATGGACCCCTGTCCCACTTTGCCCACAGATTTCGGGAAATGCCTCCCTCTCCTGCTCCATCCCAGAGGGAAGTCTCCCTCGACCCCTGGCTTCCTCATCAGGTCAGGAGCTGCCCCTCTGAGGATCGCTCAGATCTGCTCAGTTCTGCCCGCCCTCTGCATCCTTCCTTTGGACTTGGCCCCTCCCTGTTCCTTCTTCAGCAGATAAATCCATTCCCAATCCCTGGTCTCTCAAACCAACCCATGACACTCCCCAGTTCCAGCAGGAAGCAGAGCTAGGCTGCCCTCCCTCCCTGGGTTCACCACATTCCCACAGCCTGCTTGGGTCTGGGGAGTTGCATCAGGTTTGGGGGCTTCCCTGGGTCCAAGGACAATCCTTAGGAATTAGGGCCAGTTCTAAGGCCCCACAGCCAACTGATTGCACAGGAAAAATATAGAGTCTGGACATCTATTTCCAGGAATAAGGGAGCAGGCAAGAGTCGGACTAGTACTCCTCCAGACCCTCACTGCCCACAACAGGGCTCCCTGGCCAGCCTTCTCTGACCCCCACATTGCCAAGGTCCGCAGGCTCCCCACCAGTAAGCACTGTTTGTCAGCACCAGAATCCTGTCCTCAGCAGTCCCGTGCTGTGGTCAAGAGCAAAAAGCAGGAGTGAGTGCCGAGGGCCAACCCCAACTTGAGGGCTTCTCTCATCTGGTGCTAAGCAAGGGGCAGGAAGCAGGGGGTGTCTATGCAGAAAGCTGAGGGGGTGGCCCAGCACCTCTCCAACTCCCCTACAACTTCCGCCTAGGGAGGCTTTAAGCTAAAGTGTGACTTCCTGTGTAGGGTCTGCACAGTGGGGCAGACAAGCTGAGATGGACCCTGTGGTCTAACCCCGACCCAGCCACCTCCTTCAGAGACCCACTTGCTGTGCCCTTCCCCCGCAGCACTGAGTTCTTTAAATTAAAACGTGTTTGTTCCATTGCACATCACAACCTTGGGGGAGCCCAAAACAGCAGTCACTACTCCAAGGGCCCTGCTCAAGTCCCCCTCCTGCCCATGAGCCCCTCCACCAGTGGCTCATGGCTCCTCCACCAGAGCTCATCGAATACACTGCACTGGTGTTGAATAACGTGTGTCTACTTTGGGTTTTTATCATAATATGGTTATTTCAGATAAGTAGATAAGATCTCCCTGACAGACCACAAGCCCTGGGAGATCAGACATCAGAGAATGCATTGGTCAGACCCAATCTTACTGTCTTGCCTACTGAAAGCCAGGCCTGCAGAATGGGAAGGACACACAAAGTTGAGTTTATGATCTGATGTCTAGGTGAGGCCAGGGATGCCTTCAGGGGGAGGTGAGAGGCAGCAACCCCCATAGGAATACATTTATCTCCGAAGTTTCCAACCATGCCCCTCCTCCGCACAGGGCACATGCCCTCTCCTGAGACCACAGGCAAGTGAGCGCAGCCATTCCACCAGTACAGAGGAAGAGAAAGGTTGAGACCCCGTGCTCCAGGAAGCTGGACCTGCACTTCCACTGGGTTAGTCCTCAACACTTAGCGGGCCCAGAAATGAATTCATTCCTCTCCTTGTGTAGACAGAGGTCACACCTCTAATTTCCTGGCATCCACATCAAGACCTTTCCCACAGCTCATGGCCTTGGCCCTGGCCCTGCTGTCAGTCCATCTTGCCAGTCCTGGTGTGATCTCTGTCCTCTTGTGTGATATCTGTCCCTTGGTTGCCTCATACCTGGATTGTGTATTACTGCAACTGTCTCCCTTTTTCCTACCCCATTCCATACACTTTCATTTTTCTGTTTTGAGATAGGGTCTAACGATGGTGCCCATGCAGGTCTTAAACACCTGGGCCCAAACTGTTCTCCGGCCTCATCTTCCAAGTAGCTGGGATTACAGGCGCCTCCCCCAGCACCCTACATAGTTTCTCATCTGCAATCATGTTGCAGCTTGCGCACGGTGGAATGGGAATCCTCCTTCCACCTTCAGGCCTGGCTTCAAAAACATCTCCATGGGGTGTTGTTTTCCCCAGTGTGTGCACCCGAGAGTCCTCCCTACTGTATGACACAGTCCGGGCACAGAGTGGGCTTGGGGAATAACAAAGGAAGGAGGGAAAGAAGGAGAGAAGGAAGGAGGGTGGGAGGGAAAAGGAAGAGAATAAGGGCAGGGAAAGGAAAGGAAAGAATTCTTCCACCTGAATCCATACTTAAGAACACTCTTGCCCACTCACTGCAATGTTCCCATCCTCAATCCTTACTGGCCTTCACAATGGTCACCCCAGCTAAGGTGTTCAGCTCCTGTGCCCACCACTCCTCAACAAAATCCCCAATCTCCATTCCTCTACTATGCCCCAAACCAGTCTCCCAACTCTTCTTCCTCCTTCCTTTCTAGCCACCCAGTCACCTAGTGATTTCAGATGTTAGCTCCAAACCCACTTTTCTAGGGGGCTTCCCCCCCCTCACCCATCAGACCAATTCCTTGTTCTTTTGTTTACTCAACAAATGGTTCAGGGTCACAGTCCCTAGCCAGGCCAGCCCCACCTGGATGCTGGGGATGGCGAGGTGGGCAATGCCCTGCTCATGCTTTGAAGAGCTCCACTGTAAGCCCTGAGCCTGTGCAGGAGTGCCCTGACCCACAGAGAATGAAGGGCATCTGAGCCAGCTCCTGGGCCGAGATCCACTGTGCAAAACAAGGCAGCTGGACGACCGGTCCCCTCCCCTGTCTGGCCTCTCATGCTGAGGAACGGCACCTCACGAGCCATCAGCAGTCTCTTCTCCAAGTGTTCTTGAAATGCCTTTCACTGTAAGCCGTCTTGGATCGAACACAAACTCAGCTTACTTTGCCACATTCAGTCCTATCTTCACCGTCCCCTTGGCCCCCAGCACCTCCCACTCACACACCCCCTCTTCACACCATGCTCACATTGTTGAATGGTGAAATACCACTAAGTCCTCTGCAGACCTCACCTGTCCCCTGTCCCCCTGGCTCCAGTTGGCATCTGTCATAGGATGACAGCCCCACCTGGCTCTAGCAGTCCCCACCAGGTACCTTCATTTACTCTAAATTTCCCAGAGAATAAGTGCAACAAACACTCCTAAGGATATTGCTACAAAAGCAACGCATTTGCTGCATGTCTTCTCCCAGCTTTATCCTATCCTCCTACTAGACCCTAAACTAGAAAACAGGTTTCAATCACCACTATAATTCCAGCACTTGAAAGAGTTTAGCAAAACAGGCACTTAATGAACTAAATACATACATCAGATGTATTCATCTATTTAATCTTAAAACTCACACTAGGAGGTAGTAACCACTATGCCCATTTTAGAGATAAATTAAGGCATGAAGGAGTCACAGAACCTTGCTCCATTCGTGCAGCTATAATGTGAAGGAGTCAGGTGATCTACAACTAAAGAGAACAGAATTAAGAGGATCTGGAAGCTGAACAGTTGGGGAAGAGAAGGAAGTTTCTGGAAGGGGACAACAGGTAGGCCTGGGGGACAGGAGGGCAGAGGACAGAGCAAGACCACTGTAGAGGCAGGTGCTCTATGGGAGTCTAGAAATGTAGGACTAGAGCAGAGGGAGGAGGCTGGATAGAAAGAAGCTCAAAAGGCTCTCAGGACAGATAGGGAAGGAAGGGTTGGTGGGCAGGACAGATGTAAGACGCTGAGAAGAAAGCATGGCAGCCATTGTTCCTGGCCCAGAGATGGGCAGCATCCCGGGAGAGGCTGCCCATACAGGCAGCAAGTCCACCTGACTGGATGGATGAGGGCTCTGGGTATTTGAGCATGATTCCAGGACATGAGGAATGTCAAAGCACATTAAAACAAGCTGAGGTCAGAGAAAGGGACATTTTCCAGTGACGAAAACAACTTGCTACCAACTTCCCCAAATTGAACTATGGAGTAAGAAACCAAGAGATTGTTGTTTAGGTTTGGGGTGCGGAGAGGGCAGCTCTGGGATACTGACCAGGTAGAGGAGTTGGCAGTAACCTAGGCAGCATAATTAGTTCAACAGAGGCAACCTATATGGAAACCAGGGCCTGGGGTAGAAAAGCAACTCTCCTGTGGCCAAGGTCCTGTTCAACTGGCTGCCCTGCCCTAATTCCCATTCCACTCCCAGATACCCCATCACACAGCACCCCAAACCCACCCCACCAGCTTGTCCCCTTCCTGGACTTGGATTCCCCATTTCACAAGTCACGATCTGTGACAGCATTGCCCAGGCAGATTCCACAGGTCCCCACAGCCAGCACACTCCTGGGCCAGCCCAACCCAAGGGCCAGAACGGGTGGTCTACACGCTCAGCACGGGTGGTCTCCTGCTTCTCAGGCTCCTCTCCTTCCCCTGCCATCCACACCCCTACCCCACACAGGCCTATCACTGCGCCAGGGTCCCACACGAGGCCTGGCCAGGCCTGGACAAACTTCCTCGGCTGTCAGGGGCCAGAGCTTTCACTTTCTCCTCTTCAGACCGCTCAGGGAGGCTGCCTTCTGGGCTGGGTGACCGGGAAAGCTGCCTGCCAGGGCCCAAGTTTCGGCCTGGCAGGCCCAAGGGTGGCAGCAACAGCAGGCCAAAGCGGGACGTCTCCCCTTCCTGGGAAGGGCTCCCCCAGCCAGTCTCCCTCTCCCCTCTCACCAGTGGCAGCAGCAGGCCGGACTCAGTGGGGAGGCCCATATCCGGCCAGCAGGGCCTCTCACTCCCCCATTGGGGCTCGGGACAGCTGCGGTGGCAGTGGTGTCCAAAGTCTGCCCAGAAGGTCCCGGGAGCCACGGGCCTCGGGTGGGCCCGAAGGGGCAAGCAGCGTTGAGACCCGGGTGGAGGTCACCGCCCTAACCCAAGGTCCTCAAACCCCGAAGGCCAGAACTGGAGCCCATGTCTGAGAACTCCGAGAAAACTAAGGCGAGAGAGAGTGGGAGGGAAGGGAGAGCAGCGCGGGCGGTGTTGCAAGAGCACAGACAGGAAGAGCTGGGAGGAGGCTAAAGGAGGCTGGAGGAGGAGGAGGGAGGCGGAGGGGGAGGGGCGGAGGCCTTCAAGGCTTTGTGCAGCCGTTCGGCTGCGCCCCAGCTCCGGGGCCCTGCGCCTCCAACGCCCAAATCCCACCGCTCCTCTGAACACCAGGGGGCGGGAGCCCTTCCCCAATCACCCCGACCCTGGCCTTTCCTGAATGGAGAGCGATTTGAACATCTAGAGTTCTGGAGTCAAATTTACTGTGTTCCCGTTCGGAATTGTCCATTTTTTAGCTGGGTGAGCTCAAACATACAGTCCCACCTCTCTGAGCCCATTTTTCCATTTGTGGAATGAAAATAGACTCTCTCATCTGGGTTTCTGGAGGATTTACTGGTACAGAGGAGTGGCTGTCACACGGGTAAGAGCAGGACTCAGTGTCCCTTAGCCGTCCTTCCTGTACCTAAGCATTCTCCACGCAGTCCACCCACCCATCCTCAGCCTAAGCCCATATCTAGTTTTCTGCCCTGACTGGGATCTTGATCTTCAGCCCCTTCCTCTGGCTCTATCTGGCACATGCTGGTTCCTGGATGGCATCCTGAGACTGCCACCAATCTTGGAACATCAGGTAATCCTCTCCAGCCTCATTTATTAAGTGGGGGAACAAGTGTCTGCCCACCTACATGGGGAAAGCGATGCCGAAGATCAGTGAGACCACACCTGTGAAGGCACCTTGAGTATGTGGATATCTCTGCAGTTGTTGCCAGAATACCCTAGCACCCTTTCCGCAAGTATTCAGGTGCCTTCGTGGGAACTGACCCTACAGTTACTTTACTATAACCCTCTGGCTTTAGAGAGGCCCAGAGACACCCAGCATGTTGGCAGGCAGAGCCACCAGAGAAGCCCCAATTTCTAGTTCCCAGTCCGTCCCTCTGTGAGAGACACCCAGCCATTTTTCTCTCTGTCTCTTGAAGCCAGGCCTCTATGGGCATCTGTGGCTTCTCTGTTTGAGCAACTTTTCTCCCAAGGGAATTCTACAATACAGGCACAACATTCACTCAGCGACCACCCTATACTCAGCCCAAACTCATCTTTCATAGGCTAAGGCTGTGAGAAAAGCAGAGAGACTTAGCAGAGCAAGGTCCTAAGGCGTTGTGACTTGGAACCAGAGCTCCTTGTCCCTTCTCCCATTAATCCACAACTGACCTCCAGCCCCAAGCCCACTCCTGGCTTTCTTGGTCTTCCCTCTGTGATTCCCAGCCACCCCTCTCCCCACTGGTAGGTCAGTAGGTCTGAGTCATGAGTAATGGGGTAACTGGTCCTGGGGGCTGACTTCAGTCCGGCCCATCCAGCAGCTTCTGACATCATGGGGGTCTGGGAACTGGACTCACAAAAGGAGGGACTCATTACAGGAAAGCCTTGAGTTGGGGAGGAGTGGACCCCCAGAGAGAGCTCTGGAAGAAGCAGGATCATTAGAATAAAGTTTAAGGGTCAGACTAACCAGTGTGTCCTGTAAAGAAGCTGGGAGAACCTCAGGCTTCCCATCTAAAAACAGAGAGGCCTAAGGTATAACTCAGGGGCAGAGCCCTTACCTACCAAGCACTAGGCTTTGGCTTCCATCGCCAGCACTAGATAGATAGATGGATAGATAGATCAATAGATAGTGCCTCTCACAGAGCTGGTCTGATAAAGGCACATAAAATATTCAGCAAGTGTTTGCCATACATTAAGCATTCTATAAGCACTAGCAATATTAGTAGTTCATACTAATAACAACTAATACTAATAATAATATTTCATACTAATAATAACATACTAATAATAACATTTCATACTTATAACAACATTTTTAGGGGCTGGTGAGATGGCTCAGTGGTCTAAAGCACCTACTTAGAACAAGCTAAGCAAGGGACCGCGGTTCAATCCCCCAGCACCACATGCCAGCCAGCCCCGCCCCCTGGTGGGCTGAGCTGGCCACACACACACACACACAAAAATAAATTAAAAAAAAAAATTAAAAAAAAAAACATTTTTAGTGTTACAAAGACTTTAGAATAGTCTGTACAAGCTGCCAAAACCATTATGTACAGCCCAAGACAAAAGAATTTCTCTTCATGAGTTGAGATTAAGTGCTGATTTACTAAGTTTAAAGCTTTGACACAGGTAGTTTTTTGTTTGGAACTGGGGATTGAACTCAGGCCCTTGCGCTTGCTATACAAGCGCTTAGTCTACTGAGCTGTCTCCCTGGCAGTAGTATTAAATTGTTCAACAGAATTTTAAAAATAGAAGAGAAGATGGTGAGAAGTGGTTAGATCTAGGGGTGTGGAAAGCTAGCTCGCTTTGGGCTGGAGGGTATAGCTCATTGGTAGAGCATTTGGTGAAGACACCCAGACCCTGGGTTCAATACCTTATACCAAAACAACCCCCAAAACCTAGCTAGTTCCTTGAGGAGGCCGTAATCCCTCCAAGAGTAGAAAAAGTGATGAAGAAACAGAAGAGGGCCAGGTTAGAGGATGGTGGCACAGGGTCGGCTGCTGGGCTTGGAGAGCCAATGATGAAGAGCTTGCGAGCTGGGTGTGGTAGCAGAGGCCTGTAATCCCTGCTTCTGGGAGGCTGAGGCAGGAGGAGCAAAAGTTCTAGGCCAGTCTGGGCAATACAGTGAGACTTCGAACTGAAGAGGGCTGAGGGTGTAGCTCAGGCTAGAGCCCCTGGGTTTGATATTCAGTACCACACACACGCACACAGAGCTTCACATCAGCAGAGGCTTGTCCCTCTTCAGGACTCACACAGACACAGGAACACCAGTAGACGTACACATGCACACTAAACCTGAAAGGGCACTGGACAGAGTCCAGGTGACGTGGGTTCTCACCCAATCTCGTCATCCAGGTCTCCACCCTTCCCAGGGAGGCTGGAGGCTCAGTTCTCAGGTGGTTCTGTCAGAAGCATGAACCTGGGCCAGCTACCCCACCCACCAAAAACTGAGAACACGTGAGCCCTAACCCAACTCCTTGGCATAACCCACAGATGGGATGGGGATAGGGGGTACACCAAGTGGAAGCCAAGGAGCCTCAACCTGCTAGACCCCTCTCTGTCCACCTAGTCCTCCTCCCCTGCCAGGGCAAAGGGCATGGGCATAATGTGGGGCCCAGCTGAAGGCAGCCACATCTAAGAGCTCTGAGGAGGGGGTGGCTGGAGCAGCCATTTCTGGCATCATAAATCCAAAAACGGGGAGTCAAGTCATCGCATGGGTGCAGGTTAGGATGCTTTCTGTGTCCCTATGGCCCTTCACTGGCTCCTTGTCCTGTTCCCTCAGGTCCTGCTTCTCTTCTGGCACCTCAGGACAGAGAGAGTGGAATGAGTGAAAATGAGACTGCACTTCCATGTTCCAGTTCTGCTGCTGGCATGGGCTGAGGAACTGGGGCTCTGGAAGGTAGGCTTCCTTCAGACGTCCCTCACCCTCCCTCCACCCACCTATCCTCCAGGAGCGTGGGAGATGTGCTGTGTGATGCCAGGTGAGCAAGGCTGCACAGGCCCAGAGCTTTCCGAAGGAACTGGCCTGAATCTCATCAACCCCAGACAGCAGTTGACAGGGAGGAGGGCAGACAGTAGTGCATGGTGTTCGACAAATGAGCAGAGGGAGTAGGAGAGGAGGCTGGGACGCTGGGGAGGGTGGAGTAGTCTTGATCACTCTGAAGTGAGATCCTTGAATGGGAGAAGCACAGGGCTCCTGCTTCCAGCCTATTGAGGGGATGTGCACTCAGCAGACACTTCACCCACAGAGGGGTGGATGAATCCCCCAGGCTCTCCTCCATGGTGAGCCAAGGGGCACAGGGGCCTGTGCCTTCCTGCTCCATAAGACTTGCTGGAAGTATGGGCAGTGACTCCAGGGTTTGCATCTCCTCCATTCCCACTTCACGGGCACCACCCAGCTCTCCATGACACAGCTTTACCTAACAAACATTTATTGAACGCCTGCCTACCTGCTCTAAGCAGGATGGTAGGCTAAACCTGGAGAACACGTAAATGAACAAAACTCGGTCCCTGACCATCTAGTCAGGTGAGCAGACACAAATGAACAGGAAAGTATAACATGACATCAGTGCTCCAGTAGATGTTATAGTATGTTACAGGCATCTGGAAAGAAGGGGGTGATCAGTTCTGCAGGAAACAGGCTATCAGACAAGTAATGGTGTCTAAACAGGGTGCTGAGGGATGCAGCAGAGCTCTCCAGGAGATGGCAGGGGAGACTTCCAAGCTGAGGAAATCGCTTGAGCAGACATGCAGAGGTATGAGGGACTCAGCACTGGGCTATGGCTCTGTGAGGGTCTTGAGCCTGAGACCAGAGGAATCTGGGAAAACTTGACTAACCTAGTCGGCTCCAGCCACTGCCCTGAGCAGTCAGGGAAGGGGAATTGCCCAAGAACTAAAAAGGGGGCTTTTGGGTGGGGTTCCCCACCCAAGTTCAAGAATAGAAGCAGACATGTCTGTGTCCCTGGAAGCAGTGTGGCCAGGTCAATCTGGGGCTGGCCCAAGGTCACTGGAGAGGGGACCTAGGCGTGGCTCTGTGTGCACCTTGTTTGTGCTTTGTCCTGGTTGCCGCAGTTTCCTAGGGAAGTTCCTTGACACAACTCCAAGTTTGGCCCCACTGATCCAAGGGCAAAGGAGCCTTGTCCGTACTCACTGGGGTGGAGTGGGGGGCCTGGCGAGCTTCTCCACTCCTCCCCCAGCTCCCCCTCTGCACCACAGGCACATGGGCAGCTCAGGTGGTCCCAGGTGTCTCTGTAGGAGGCAGGATGCCAACTCTTAGGGCTCCCCTAGAGCATAGGTACCCGAGCCAGCCTCCACTGAGCCCTGAAGAGGTGGGCAGGCGCTGAGGGTGGCGTAGGCAGGTGGAGGGGCTGTCAAGGCTGGGGAGGCAGGGTGGGCACAAAAGCGCGAAGGGAGGGAGGATGAGGGTGTACAGGCGACCTCCCTGGCAGCCCGGGCCCCTCGTCCTGGAGCCCAGTAGCGGCTCCGGAACCTCCGCAGCAGCATGAGGAATGTGATGACCAGGAGGTCGAACATGAGCTCCGCCATCTCCACCACTGACAGCACGGAGGAGCCAAACCACAGACTCCATTGGCTGCCCAGGTTGGACAGGAGTGTGACCATCTGCAAGGGGGAAGGGCAAGACAGGGGAAGCTGATGAGCCAACCCAGAAGCCTGTGTGTCCCCTCAGGCACCCGGTGTCCCCACCTCTGGGCCCCTGCCTCATATCCGGAAGAGAGCTGGCAGCGAGACTGGCAGACCAGACAGGCCAGGGCTTCTCCCCACCATCTGGCACACAGGTGCCTCCCCTGTACCCAAGACCTCATGCACCAGCCCTAGCCCCTCCTTCCACCCCTCTCAGCTCCTCCTCAGCCACACCCTCCTCTTCTATGGAGGCCTGAGCCTTTCCACCTGCACAGAGACAACCCCTTGCATTCCCAGCCAGCCAACCACCCCAGAGACCCCCAGAAGAGCCACAGGCTCAGCAGGGCAGGCCCTACCGTGACAGAGGGAGACTCAGAATTGGTTTTGTAATTCAGCTCCTTGAAGAAGATGTTCAGTTTGGCTACGCCATTTCTTGGGAGGGAGGGAGAGGCAGGAAGAAAATGTTAACTTCTCAGACCCTCTTCCAATTGGCTGCATCTGTTCCTCTGCCCAGATCTGTCCTTTCTCCCAAGGCTTCCTGTCCCAGGATTATCATGAGGCAGGACTGACCTTTTGTTATTGATGGTATAATTGTTCTGTAGGGACAACATCTGGAAGATCCAGTCCTGGGAAAGGATGGGGGCGGCTATGAGGTCACAGTGTTACACACACGTGTGCGTGCATGCCTCCCATTCCTCCATTCCCCGCTTTACCTGGGATGTTGCCGAGGGCCAGCGTGAGTAACCTGCAGATAACTTGTACATGGTCACACTGAGGATGAAGAAATGCATTTAATTTGGTTTTGGTTTTGGTTTTGGAAGCAGAGTCTCACTGTGTAACCCAGGCTGCCCTTAAACTTGTGATCCTCCTGCCTCAGCTTCCCAAATGGTAGGGCTGTGAGTGGAACCCACACCTGCCTAAAAATGTGCTTAGTGATGGATTGGGGTTCTCCCACTCAGAAGTTTAGCTGTATGTCTAATATCCTCCTGGCCACACAGCCCACTGTCTGCCCTGAACCTAGCAGCAGGGGCACTCACCTGCACGGCTTTCGGCACTTATTGAAGCAGCCCAGACTGTCGGAGGAGAAGGCGCCCTGGAGCTTATAGTAGCAGTAGCCTGTGGGTACAGAGAGGGGCCTGTGTTCTGAGGGCACCTCAGACTTCTCCACCCAGTCCCCCAGAGCCTCCCACTTCACAAGAGCTTTATGCAGCACTATCCTGATGTATCCTGGGTCAGAGCAAGAAACTATTAACACATTAAGCAAAATCAAGAAAACAAATTGGCTACAACCATATAAAATATGCTGTGTAAGCAAAAACTAAACCTCAGAAGAGAAATGGGAACAACTATTGTGTAAGAATAATGGGGTTAAACCACAATGAAAAACCATCTAACACCCATTAAGATAAAAAAGATAATAGGAGCCCTAGGGAAGCTGAGGCAGGCAGATTGTGAGTTTGAGGTCAGCCCAGGTTACATAGTAAGCTTTTGTCTGTCTCAGAAAACAAAGGAGGGCAGCCTTGGCCGCACATTCCTGTAATTCCAGCACTTGGGAGGCTGAGGCATGAGGGTCACTGTGAGTTCAAGGCCAGCCTGGGCTACAAAGTGAGCTCAAGGCATCCTGACTTGCATAGTGAGACACTGTCTCAAAAAAAGGAAGGAAAAAGAAAAGGAAGAAAGCAAGAGAGAAAGATGAAAAGAAAGAAGCAGAAGGGATGAGAAGATAGCTGAGGCAGGGGAGATAGCTCAGTAGAATAAATGCTTGCCTGGCAAGCACAGGGTCCTGAGTTCAGTCTCCAGTTCTGCCCAAAAAAAAAAAAAAAAAAAAAAAAAAAAAGAGTGGGGGAGGAAGAAGAGGAGGAGGAGGAGGAAGAGAAGAAGGACATCATGAAAGGGAAAGAAACTGTTCAAAAGGAATGACTGAGATGGGAGAGAGGAGAAAAGAAGTAAGGGTAAATGTATTTGTACTTCAGCAGGCAGCAAGGAAGGGGCTTTCCTCTTGCTGCAGACAAAGGAGAAAGATTCTAACAAATCTGCACAGACCAGGGGAGAAAGAGACTGACAGGGAGGGACAGATAGAAGAGGGAGGTAGAAAGTGCGGGATACAGACAGGTGACAAAGGGCTGGAAAGCAGAGGGAGAGGGAGAAGTGGGCAGGGCAGGCAGGATCTACAGCATCGCCCAGTCAGGTGGCCCAGGAGAGAGGATCTGGGGAGAGGGCGTCTGGGTGCAGCCACTCACCCCAGGCACTGTGGTTCCTGTAGTCACAGAACTCCACGCCCTTGGGCCTTGGGTAGAAGATGTAGGCGCAGCCGCACTTCTCAATCATGCTCTCCTGGAAACACGAGTGGATGCAAACCTGGAAGAGGTGGAGAACGGAGGAAAGGTGAGGCCTGGCCCACCCCCCTCCCTTCGCTGCACCTGGCTGCACCTGTGCTGGGCTTTCTGGAGCCCCCCACTATCTCCCCTCCCCATGGCCACCAGCGTAGGCCTGCGCACCAGTGGCCACTGGAACAGGGCGGACTCACCTGCTGCGTGTACTTGGAAGGGTACAAGTTCTGGACAGGGACATCGCTGCCATTCTGAGTGCAGTCTCCATAATTGCCCCCAAGTCTGTCCAGGGCTTCCTGTGAGCCACACATACAGAGGTCAGAGGGGAGAGGTCAGAACAAGCAGCCCAGGCTCCAGCCTGGCTTCTCGGTCTTCTTCCCTCAGTCCAGGCTTCTATTCCACCAGCACCTGCCATCCCTCACCGTCTCCAGACATTCCAGGCACCCCCAGCACCCATCTCCCCCTCCTACACTCTCAAGACAGGGCTCAGAGCACACCCTGGGACCTAAGCATGTCCACCACCCATCACAGCCTTCTCACCCAGGCAGGGCTCCTTCCCCGGCCCCTTTGCTCCTCAGTTGGCTCCTGGGGACTGCCCCATTCTCTGAGCACCCACTCCACGACGGCTGGGACTGCTCAGCTGACCCATTCCCCCCACGGACCCCCACGCCCCATGCCTTGTGGTCCTTGCCTTCCGCATGCTAATGGAGGTCTCCACACCAGGCCTCAGGTTGAAGCCACCATCATCCATAAAGGCCGGCTCATCCTGCCCGTGCACTGTCACCCTGGCCCCCGTTACCGTGGACAGCAGGGGGATGTAATCATTCTGCTCTGTACGCAGTGTCAGGGACAGACCTGGAGGTGTGGAGGGAACAGAGTTGGGGGGGGGGGCCTCTGAGAGAAGAGGATAGAAACTCAGCAGCCCATCCTGCCTGCTTGCTAAGCTCCAAGGGGAGCAAAGCCAGGAGGACTTGGCCTCTGGGGAGGAAGGACTGGGATAGGATTTTACTCATGCCTGGGATAGACCATGCAGTGCCCTCAGGGAGAACGAACAGAGAAGTCCCTTTCCAAGACTGAGAGTCCTGGAAGTGTGTAGCCACTCCAGGATGTGAGCCAAGATGAGTAAAAGTGGGTGGCCAGGGTGGCAGGAAGGGTAGGGGCAGAGGGTGGCATGCCAGCGGCAGGACTCCTCACCATTGTTGATCCCCGGCATGGAAGACATCCAGAGGCTGGAGTCATTCTTGTTGTTGAAAGTGTAGCAGTTGCCGTATATTGGGTGGTGGAAGTGAGAGTAATTCCTTAGCAGGAAAGAGAGAAAGCAGCATCAGTGAAAAGTACATGTGGTCAGTGGAGCAGAGAGATGAGACAGGAAGCTGCTTTCAGCCCCTCCAGGAGTTACATCTCCGGGAGCTGTTTGTTCTCAATCACCTGCTGACACGGCTGGGAGTTTATCCATGATCCCTGTCACTCTAGGCAGCAGCCTAGGGAAGCCTCATTCTCTCATCACACAAGTTCCTGCAGCAGCTGGCCCAAAGTCACATGGACAGTGCCATTGACCGAGATGCGGACCCGGGTCCTCTACCTGCCAGCCCAGACTCCTCTCCTAGGCCATGTGACCTCACTGGTCTAGACTTCCAGGCCGCCTGGTGAGCAGTCTTGTGCTGTGGTGTTTTCAAAAGACCTTTTCATTATCAGCGTGTCCCAGATTGCTATGGCCAGGGCCCATCTGCAGCCGGTGTGGGGCTCAAGAGAAAGCCGCCACACAGGCAGTGCTGCTGCAGCATGAGAGCTGATGACAGGTTCAAAGCTCGAGGCTGTGTGGGACTGCAGCTCGCTCCGGCAGAGTGGGTTCTGTGTCCTGCTAGCCTGCCTTCCTGACTCTGGCTATGGAAGCAGGGGAAGGCGGAGATGGGGGTTTGCCTGTGAGCTGCACGTGCCTGAGAGCAGGGGTGGGGCTCCGGAAGCATGGCCTTGACCAGATCCCATTCTAAACCACTTTGCAGAATAAGGAACTAGATGATCTGGAACACCCTGTTGGCCTTAACAGCTAAGCAGAGGCAGAGGTGTGAAATACTGGGGCATATTTTAGCATTTGCATTTGAGGTAGAGGCAGGCAGGGGCTGAGGAGGAGGCTACAGAAGTGGCCAGTCCTGAAGAGCCGCTACACCCACTGGCCAGGACAGGGGACAGGCGTGGTGCAGTGGCCGCACCATGGAGGTGCATCAGCAGACCGGGGCAGCAATGTGGATGGGTAGGAGTTGTGTAGAGCTTACTTATTTTCTTTTTAAAGAGGAGCAATGAGATTGTGTAGTTAGCACATCACTTATGTAAATCAAATGCAAATTTTACAAAACACATACAAACAAAAATATACATTGGGAGCATTGATATGTAGTGGCTTGTGAGAAGCTGCCACTAGTAGGATCGTCAAGAGCACAGGCTCCAGAACAGAGTTTCTTGCATCTGAGTCCCAGCTCGAGCAAGTATCCGAAATGGGAACAAATGAGTGACTCACTGTCTTTGTACCTCAGCTGTCTCATCTGTAAAATGAGGGTAATAAAATATCTACCTCACAGGGTTGCTAAGGATCAAACTACAATAAGTGCATTAGCACTTACTGAAAGCTATCTGATCGTGAATTTATTAGGATTTCTAATATGGCTAAAGTGGAAAAGAAAGACAGACAATAACAAATAGAGGATGCACAGACTTTGGAGGCCTCACACAATGCTGCAGGAATGTCACTGAGGCTATTCGGCAAAATCTAGCCCTTCCTTGAGATGTGAAATGTTACCCTAGGACCCAGCAAGTCCCACTCCTAGGTGCACACTAGGAGAAATGAAAACATACATCCAAGAAAAATCCTGTTTAGGAATATTCATATCAGCTTTATTCATACTAGTAAAAAAGTGGAAGCAAGCTGGGTGTGGTGGCATACACTTGTAATCCCAGCACGTGGGAAGCTGAGGCAGGAGGACTTCCACCAGTTCAAGGCCAACCTGGGCTACATAGTGAGACCCTGTCAAAACCTCCCATCCATGGGAACAGAGCTGGGAGCGAGGTTTTAGTGATAGAGCACTTGCCTAGCACATAGGAGGTCTGGGTCCCATCCCTAGTATCAAAAAGTGGGAACAACCCAACTGAAGGACTGATGAACAAAAAATGTGGCATAGCTATACAATACAGCATTATGTAACATAAGAAGAAACGAAGTTCTGATATGTACTACAGCATGAATGAACCATGAAAACATGTTGGTCAGTCACAAAAGACCCTGTTTTTTTTTTAATTTTTAAGACCCTGTACTGTATCTCTTTATATGAAATGTCACAGTAGAGAATCCATAGTGACAGGAAGCAGATAGTAGTCCCCAGGGCTTGCAGAAAGGGTAGAAATGGAAAAGAACTGCTAATGGAGACCAGATTTCTTTTTGGGGTGACAAAAATGGTCTAAAATTGGTACTGATGGTTGCACAACTCTGGCTATACTGACAACCAGTAAACTACACACTAAAAGGAAGACTTCTATGGCCTGGGAGCTGTGTTTCAGCAAAGAGTTATTAAAGAAGAGACAAGGATTGGTGATGGAGCTCAATGGTAGAGCTCCTGCCCAAGATGCTTGAGTTCCACGACCCCCCAACACACACACACACACACACACACACACACACACACACACGCACGCAGCAGGCAATGTGCAGGGCTTGAAGAGGGCTGAGGAGATCATACTAAGGAGGTTCAACTTGCTTCAAAATGTCCTGGAGACTCTGAAAGACTTCGATCAGGCCTCACTGGAGTCGTTGAAGTATAGAAAAGTAAGTATGGTGAATACAAAGCTTGTGTGTGTGTGTGTGTGTGTGTGTGTGTGTGTGTGTATTGTGGCTAGATGTGTGTCCCAATCCATGTGTCAGAAGCTGAATCCCCGGTTGCAGGGGGCACTTAGCAGGAGGTGACTGGGTCTCCTCGATGGCTCCATGCCATCATGGAGGAAGTGTTAGTTATTGTGGGAAAGGCTGTTCTACATTTGAGCCTGTCCTTCCTGCTTTCTTTCTTTCTTTTTTTTTTTTTTTTTTGTTTTTTGGTGGAACCGGGGATTGAACTCAGACCCTTGCACTTGCCAGGCAAGCACTTATTCTACTGAGCCATCTCTCCGGCCCCACTTTCCTGCTTTCTCTGTTTTTGTTTTTGGTTTTTTTTTGTTTTTTGTTTTTTGTTTTTTTTCTTTTTGGCGGAACCAGGGATTGAACTCAGGCCCTTGCGCTTGCCAGGGAAGCGCTTATTCCACTAAGCCATCTCCCTGGCCCCATGCTTTCTCTTTCAAATGCACAAGTGCAGGTCAGCAACCCTTCTGTTTTCCATGGTTTGTTGTATGGGGCCTCATCATGCCAGTGCCACTCTCTCAGGCTTCCCAGACTCCAAGACTATAAGAAATGTTTCTTTTCTTTGTGAATTACTCAGCCCATGGTACCTAGTTATAGCAACAGAAAACAAACTAAGATACTTCCTGAGTCTACAGGACAAAAGAGGGCTCACAGGTAGAAAGGCCTTGGCAGAATGGTGGCAATAACTCAGGAAAGAAAGGAAGAGGTGACCTAAGTGTCAGGGCCAAGATGGACATTGGACTCTATTGATGGAAAACACCAGCCCAGCAGGCCGGCACAGGGAGAGAACTGCAAGAGGGCAGTGACGGCTGGGGAGGCGGGTGTGGCCTGACTCAGACTGATCTGCCTGGCTTCCCAGCTGCCAGCTTCTGTCCTCAAACAAACACAGCAACCACACAAGCACAGTGTGTGGGCACCATGGAGTGGTGGGGCTGAGGAGGTGGCACCTGGCCCTGCTGCTGTTCTCCGGCTGTGCTGTCCCCATCACCAGCTGCCTGCTCTAGTACAAGGCGCTAAGGGCAAGGACTGTATTTTTCCCCTTATATATATATATATCTCAGATACCTAGAACAGTATTTGACACATAGTTCAAAAAGTCAAAAATATTTGTCAAATGAATATTGAATGAGTCTCCTTTTTGTCTTTTGTTTTCAGAGAGAAAGACTACGGGGAACAATGTGCAATGCTCAGCATCACGTGGCCAAGACAGTAAGCAACTACCTCAGCACAGGACTGCCCCCTAGGTGAGGAAGAAGCCTCTGAAAGACCAAGCCTCGCACTCCAGCCCTGCTTTCTTAAAGCTAGATCTCAATTCCTAGGGCAAGCTGATGGATCCACTGTCCTCAGACCCTGCAGAGGGCAGCAAAAGTGATCTTGGGGCAGACTCACGCCTGGGTGCACGGGGCCTGGTTGAAGCGGCAGGTGAAGATGAAGTTGCCCAGCGCTTCCTCCTCCAGTGAGGGTGAGGTGTCGGCCAGCCGAGCCAGGATGTTGATGTAGTGGAAGCGGTACCACTCGCGCACCCCGTCCACCCCTGA